GCGGCTGCTCTTTCCCAAGCAGCTGGTCCTGAGCTCCAAGCAGACTGTGACCAGATAGTGAAGAGGAGGGGCAAGGTCCTACCTGGCCATGCCACCATCTCAAAAGCAGGACAGCTCCCGTACCACCACGTGATCCACTTGGTAGGGCCCCAGTGGAAGCAAGATGGGACCGAGAAGCACGTATGTCAGCAGAAGAGAGCTGTGGGCGAGAGTCTGCGTTTGGCTGAAGAACACAAGTACCGATCCATAGCCATCCCTGCTGTTAGTTCCGGGGTCTTGGGCTTTCCCTTGGCCCTGTGTGCGGGGGCCATTGTTCTGGCAATAAAGGAAAACTTCCAGCGTAGCCAGGCCGGATGCACCTTAAAAGAGATTTACCTCGTGGGTTCAGTGGAGAAGACTGTGGAGGCCTTTGCCGATGCTGTGAAGGATGTCTTTAAGGATGTCCAGCCTGACACAGCTTCCCTGCCCAATTTACGAGCAGTGGTCCCACCCAGTGTGAGACAAGTTCATGGCAGCAGACGAACTCTGCTGACCCCAGAAGGCCTGAGGATCCTGTTGGTCAGAGGAGATGTACAGAGTTCTACGGTGAGTGTCCCTCACTCCAGCCACCCCCCTCCCCCCCGGCCTTCCTTAGTCTGTCGCCAAAGGAAGATCAGAATCCAGGGAAGAAGCAAGCGAGAGGATCCGTGTCCCCCAGCCCCACCTTGAAACAGCTTTCCTTAGAAAACAGGGCTGCTTCAGGACACCTGCTAATAGAGATTGGCCACTTATGGGTGGGAACTGAAAGTGTATTCAGGGTAGCAGGTTTCTAGTAACTGTGAAAACCTTACATTCACAAGTCTCTCTCTACTTTTTCAGTGCCTTTACCCCTGCTGTATTTTGGCAAATCAAAAGTTAATTTCCCATCAGATTTATCGATAGCAGTTACAGGAAGAATGGAGCACACGATGGGGGCAGAGGACAGGAATCTTGTCAATGGAGCTGAGCCACAGTGAGCAGAGCCCCTGGGTCTGAGGGATGGTTAGCACCCAACACCAGAAAGAAAATATGGGTGGACCTGGGAAAGGTCTGGGTATCATGTAGGGACCATTCTTGCAGGTCTGCTAGAGGGTGACATGTTTTTATTTATTTGTTTGTTTGTTTATTTTTATTTTTTATTAAGGTATCATTGATATACACTTTTATGAAGGTTTCACATGAAAAACAATGTGGTTACTACATTCACCCATATTATCAAGTCCCTCATACCCCATCGAAGGAGGGTGACATGTTTTTAAAGAATGTATTTAACAACCTTTTCAACATTAGTAGAAATCATATTTTTCTCGTTCAATGCCATGAAGTAGACTCCAGGCGTCTTCTTGTGTCACAGATGAACGAATGAGAGTCGGAGGGGTTAAGTAGTTTGCCCAACAGAGCCCTGAAAGCCCTCTGTTCCCCCAGGTTGTTACTTCTTTTTAACTGAGGGGTGGTGGGCAGTCCTGAGGAAGGAATTCCCCGGAAGGCCATTCACGGAGCTTCTTTGAAGAAATGTCTATTCAGATCTTTTGCCTGCTTTTAAATTCGGTTATCTTTCTATTACTGAGTTTTAAGAATTCCTTATATATTCTGGATACAGGTCCCTTACCAGGTATTTGATTTGCAATTATCTTCTCCCATTCTGTGGGTCATCCTCCTTTTTTGTTTTCAAGTTGTTACTTTGTTTAAATATTTTTTGTTGTAGTTTAAAGTATGGAAAAAGATTTTTTTAAATTGGATTTCTACTTACAGTAATCTCAAGTAATAATGAAAAGAATGAGAACTAACACTGATTATTTACTATGTGCCAGGCATATATTAAGTGCTCGGCATGCATTTTTCTCATTCAATGCCAAGATGTAGACGCCAGGCACAGGCATCTTCTCGTTTCACAGATGAAAGAATGAGAGTTGGAGGGGTTGGAATTTGTTCAGGTTCTTGACCACTGCACAATTTCCAAATATTAAAAATAATTTTGTTTCTCATTTGAGACATCAAATAAACAAAAACTCTTTGGACCAAGAGTCAGTAATTGGAATGAGTTCCGTTCCTCATCCACCTTGAACACTGAATAGTAAGACATTCCTTCCATTCCTGTCAGTCCTACAGATGCGTGGCGTCTGATGCCACAGTACCTGCTGTGTGCCCAGTGACCCATGCAGGGTGACTCTGAAAATCAGTTGGTCACATTCCTTCTCCTGTCTTCTGTTGGCCTCTCAATCTAGCCTTATTGGTCTGCTCACATGAACTGTCCTGCTGGAAAAGCTTCCAAGGCTCTTCATTGTCGGGAAGTCCAGCTGGCTTGGCACTCAAGGGTCTTTGCATTCTACCCCCAAGGTGACACCTCTAGCCTGGCTTGCGCCATTTTGCTGCAGAAACTCTCTCTCAGGTTAAATGGATCTGCTCACAGCTCACAGCCCACTTTGCTGATGCCCGTGCAGTTTGCCTTCTGACTGCTGTGTTTTTCTCTGCCTGCTGTGCAACTCTTCCTGTTTCCCAAGACTCCGCAGCACTCACAGTGTCTTCACTGGCCGCTAAAGCCACTTCCTCTGTACTCCTTCAGTGATCCTGTCATTTCCGTATTGCTTTTGACAGCCCATTTTTGTCCTGGAATGTTATTTAAAATACATCTAATAACACTTTGTCTTGGGGTGGTATTTCAGTGTATGAAAATCAGTCATTTTAGTTGTCCCCCATTGTGCCCAGCCCAGTGGTACAAAGATAGCAGTCCTTGATGAATGCTGCATGTCAGAATTTGAAACGAATTGTCAGTTTTGTTTTTAAGGCTGATGTTGTTGTGAACTCCATTTCCTCGGACCTCCAACTTGGTAAAGGGCCCCTTTCTCAGGCCATCTTAGCAAAAGGTGGGCCAAAGCTCCAGGAGGAACTGAACATAGCTGGACAAATGGCAGAGGTTGGTGTGGGCACAATTCTGCAAACCAGAGGCCACAGCCTGCACTGCCACTGCGTGCTTCACGTGGTGCCTCCGACCTGGAAGAATGGCAGCACATCTTCACTCAAGGTGGGGCCTGGTTTTAAATTCTCCAGGAAATTAGGTAGCCCATTCATTATAATGTAGATTGGACCATCCCTTTCTCTTTGGTAATGTATTCTTGGCAGGTTCCACCAGTGGTAGCCAACGTCTCCTGAAGACTAGTCACTATTGCGAGGTGATTACAGTGCTTCCTCCTTATGGGGCCGGGGAGGAGTCACTGAAGCGAGCACATTTTTAGAGAGGAAGGCCAGGCATGGGCTTGAAGAATGGACGAGAGTGAAGGATTAGAACCATAGTTGCTTCACTTCTTTCCTTCATCACTGAGTTTGGATCTTTCTGGAGAATCGCTCACACTTCCTTTTCTTTTTCCTCATCTACTCCTGTATTTCCTTTCCCCTTCTGACAGCCCTTCACCTCTCTTGAAAGCAAAAAGGAGTAGACACAGGGATCACAAAGTTGTTAACTTCTTTTTCTTTCTGTTCTAACTCCCGTTTCTAGGCAAGATATATAAAGATGTGCTTTGTGCTTTTCAGATCATGGAAGACATAATCAGAAAATGTTTGGAAATCACTGCCAGTTTGTCCTTGAGATCAATTGCATTTCCAGCAATAGGAACAGGAAATTTGGGGTTTCCTAAAAATGTTTTTGCTGAACTAATTGTTTCTGAAGTGTTCAAATTTAGTAGCAAGAATCGCCAGACAACTTTACAAATGGTTCATTTTCTGCTGCACCCAAATGATCTTGAAAATATTCAGGTACTGCCTCATTCACTTGTGGTTACTTTGGCAGCTAAGCCCTAATATTCTCAAATGTCTTCTTGGTCTAATAGGTTGTTTCTTTCATGTATTTCCCATATGAGAAAATGAAGGGGTACTCTAAATCAGTTGTGGCATGGAAAATTTCAAATTTATAGATAAAGAAAAAATTTCTTATTAAAGGGTATTTCAAACATACATAAAAGTAGACAAAAGTATAATGAGCTCCCTTGTAGCCATCATTCATCTGCACAGTTATTAACCTATGGCCAATATGTTTTATGGTTTATCTTTATTTCCAGTTATTTCCCTTCTTCTCATAATATTTTGAAGCAAAGTTCAGACAGACATTTGACCCATAAACTATTCAGTAAGTATTTTAGACAATAGGATTCTTTTAAAAAACATAAACACAATACTATTTCACCCATAAAAGATATTGAAATCATTCCATTTTTTCATCAATTACCAAGTCAGTGTTCAAATTTACAGCTGTCTCATAAATGTTTTACTTTGCTTTTACAGCTTGTTTGTTTGAATTAGAATCCAAATAAGGCCCATATATTGCAAAGGAGTTGGTGTGTCCCTTAATCCTATTTTTCATCTATAGGATTGATTCTCTTCCATATGAAAATAGAAATTTTAATAGATAACATAAAAGTTGGGGTCCTGTGAGTAGGAGGAAAAAATAAGTTGGGGTCATATAAATAAGAGAATGTCAGGATGAGATCCAGTTGAAGGGTGTTGTTAGAATGAACTCAGAACATCCACACAGGAATAGAACTTGGGGACCAGAAATACCAGAACCATCTTTGGTCATAGAGAGTCCATCAAAAGCTCACATTTGCTGAACATCAGCTATGTATGAGCCACTGGACTTGGCATTATGGGAGAACAAGAGGTATTTAATAAGAAGCCATTATCCCTGCCCTCCAAGTTCTTAAGAGTCCAATAAAGTAGCTGCCATTAAATGTTTGAACAGTTTCATGATAGTGCAAGAATTAAACAAAAAGATTAAGTCAGCAACCTAAGAGGTGTCCATGGATCATGGGCCACCTGAATTTTTTGGTCACATTAAATTCTTTTCTGGATCTAGATAATACCTGTAAGTTCTTCAGAAGCAAATTGAACCTGAATTCTAATCAAGCGGCCAAACCACTGAGCAAAATATGTATGTGTTCCATTTGGTTGGCCTGCATAACCACAGTAATTTCTAGTCAATAAATGCTTTGGACACCCTCCCTTTGGCTTGTAGTGTACAAGGTGAAGGGGACCATGGAATGGGTATATAGCATGGGTTTCCCATCTTGTGATAAATCACAATTACTTTAGGGGCTAAGATTTATATACAAAAGTGAACTAAATTAGGGAAATGAAATGCTAAGAGTTTTTTAATGAGTGGCTGAGTGAATAGGAGAATGAGTCTTGTGACATGGACCTAAAACAATCAAATCTCACTATTTCTGTGCAACTCGTCTTTATTTTCCTCCCTAAGGACTCTGAGTACTCTGCAAGTATTCTATGAAAGGATCAGTCTAGACAGTCACCTTTATTGCCACTGGAAATAGTATGGATTCTCCATACATGGCTATGACACTTCTTCTCTTAAGACTTTTAGGGACAGTTAAACTTGGTTGTATTTTCACAAAAATCATCAAGACTTATTGAGATGATTTTTGGTGGAAACTGTAACAGAAGTTGCAAAACCAGCCCATGGTCTCAACATGGCCTCTAGACATGCTTCCTTGGGGCTATTTAAAAAAAACTGGATCAGTTGTAACACTTAAGATTCAGACATTTCACATAAAACTCTGGATGTCCACTGTGACCTACAAAGTTCAAAAGTTTTTGGCACACACCAGATGTGGATTTCAGCGTGAACAGTTTGCCGTGCCTGAGCGGCTGGTGCCCTGTGGTTCTCTAGAGTCAAACCCATTCACCTTTCATGTGTAGCTTACTTGCCTTCGTCTCTGGAGGCCTGTGGGCCTGAGGCCCTGGCTCTGCACTCTCTCCTGGTCCATCTTCCCTTATATTAGCCTTTTAGCCAAGAAGTTACTTGTTTTTTTCCCAAGAAAATTCTGCTTGTTTACAAGAAGGGAGAAAGTGATGATTTGGGGGTTTCACCACCAGGCAAAGAAATGGAATTCCAGGCTCACTGACCCTAGATGACACACACACACACCTCCATTCCCCAAAGCACCACTCCCCTGGCCGTTCCTCTGCTGGTACAAAGAAGCAGCTAAAAACTGAAGTGTTGGGGTCCTTGTGATTATCTTTCTCTTAACACTGTATTGTTTACAACTGGCAAGTTGTTTGCTCTTCCTGATTATGAAAATAATACATGTTCATTATAGAGACTTTGAACACAACAAAAGGCAGAAATTCTTTTAGTTTATTTCATTTTAGTCTTATACATGTGTGCTTTTAAGAGTGGGATTATATAATGTGACAATATCATTCTTCTTTCATTTAATAGTATGAAATAAGCATTTCCTCTTTCAAAGACTCTTCTATTCTTTGAAAATGGGATTTTTAATAACTGCTAAATGTTCTAAAACAGTTTGTCTATTACAAATAGCCAGTAATGAATAGCCTTGTATTTATATCTTTGTTCACATCTTGGCAGTTTTCACACGATGCATGTAGAAACAGAATTATTTTTGTGACTTGAAAACTCTATAATGAAAATAAATAAGACTTCCAGAGTTGTTCTCTCTTGAATATATGTGCATACAAGATCAAAAGCCCCGATGCATCAAATTCATTCATCTACCTAGGATTGTCGTGGTCAAACCTGTCTTTGTATTTCCAGGCATTTTCATATGAATTTGCCCGAAGGAGTAATGGAAATGTCATCAGTGACAAAACTCCCCAGGCTGAAGATGCACAAGGTTCAGTAAAGCTTTTAAATTGGGAAGTTATTTCTATTGCTAAATAACAATTCAATGATAGGTGAAAGATGGTAGGATGACTTTCATAAAAAAATGAATTTGTGATAAAGAAGATACTAAATTATACTCCATACACCTGAGCTTGTAAGACACTGGCCATGTTTATGTGATCTGAAGTGAAAGCATAGGCACGCTGTTATGGAATCTGTACAGTGGGTTTTAACTAGTGATGTGGCTAAGATTGTCTAAGGACGATGTGATGTATTTTCAGAAACAGACACGTTTAAAGGGAAAATACCAGCCCAGTGCTTCCCCTCTGTCAAATCTGCTGTTGCTGCATTGAGTTCCTCCTGTGTTAAGCCTCAGCAGCGGCTTCTTGAATCGAATATGTATGTCTTCCCACAAATTTGGGGACTTTTCAGTCATTTCTTCAATCTTTTTCCTGTGCTGGTCTCTCTTGTCTCCTGGTGCTTCAGTAACATGAATGTTGGGCCTTTTGATCAAGTCCCAAAGGTCCCAGTGATCTGTTCTATTTTTTTTTCAACTTTTTTTCTCTGTATTTTTCAGATTGGATAACTTTTATTGATCAACCTCCAAGTTCACTGACTCTTTTCTCTGCCTACTTCTCTGCCCATCCAGTGAATTTTTTATTTCAGATACTATATTCTTAAGTCTAAAATGCCCATTGGATTCTCTTTTTATAGTTTATATTTCTCTGCAGAGACTCTTTCTTTGTCCATTCATTCCAGATCATCTCATACATTCAGCTGTGTTTACTTTGACTCTCAGGGAAGATAGTTATAGTAGATGCTTAAAAGTCTTGGATAATTCCAACATCTGGATCATCTTGAGATTAGCATTTTTATCAATCGTCTTTATCCTTGAGAATTGTTCACATTTTACTCATTCTTTGTATGACAAGCAATTTTGGATTACAGACTGGGCATTTTAAGTATTACATTGTGTCCCCTTAAACTCCTGCAGAAAACAGTGGTTGTTTTGTTCGTTTGCTTTAGCAGGCAATCAATCAATTCAGTTCAGTCCTAAAGTTCGGTCTCACCTTCTTACTGGGTAGCAGTTCTGATGTTAATTCAGTTCTCAAAGCCTTTGCTCTGCTGCCTCGGGTCTGTCCCCCCACAGCTCTGGGTGAGCTCAGGATTCGTTCCAGCTCATACACACAGTAGGGAATCACCTTCTCCAGCTCTCACCTCCCCAGGATTCCTCTTACACTCCAGCTCACAGGAGTGCATTTCCTAGGTTCTCTTGTCGGAGCGACCGGCCTTTCTCCGAGTTTAAGCTGCCTGTTCTGTTGCCTCCTAGTGTTGTGTGATCAGGGTCACCCTTGGGCAGAGCGGAGAGAGAGACGAGAGAGAGAAACGAGATTGCCCGTACACATACATATACACTTTTTAGGCCAAAGGTTCCTTTTTCCTGATTCTTCTGGACAAAAATACAGAATGTCTCTTCGCACCCTGTGGGTGCCACTCTGGAGTTCTGCCACTGAGTCACCTTGGGGCAGGGCCTGGAGTGNTCTGCCCATCCAGTGAATTTTTTATTTCAGATACTATATTCTTAAGTCTAAAATGCCCACTGGATTCTCTTTTTATAGTTTATATTTCTCTGCAGAGACTCTTTCTTTGTCCATTCATTCCAGATCATCTCATACATTCAGCTGTGTTTACTTTGACTCTCAGGGAAGATAGTTATAGTAGATGCTTAAAAGTCTTGGATAATTCCAACATCTGGATCATCTTGAGATTAGCATTTTTATCAATCGTCTTTATCCTTGAGAATTGTTCACATTTTACTCATTCTTTGTATGACAAGCAATTTTGGATTACAGACTGGGCATTTTAAGTATTACATTGTGTCCCCTTAAACTCCTGCAGAAAACAGTGGTTGTTTTGTTCGTTTGCTTTAGCAGGCAATCAATCAATTCAGTTCAGTCCTAAAGTTCGGTCTCACCTTCTTACTGGGTAGCAGTTCTGATGTTAATTCAGTTCTCAAAGCCTTTGCTCTGCTGCCTCGGGTCTGTCCCCCCACAGCTCTGGGTGAGCTCAGGATTCGTTCCAGCTCATACACACAGTAGGGAATCACCTTCTCCAGCTCTCACCTCCCCAGGATTCCTCTTACACTCCAGCTCACAGGAGTGCATTTCCTAGGTTCTCTTGTCGGAGCGACCGGCCTTTCTCCGAGTTTAAGCTGCCTGTTCTGTTGCCTCCTAGTGTTGTGTGATCAGGGTCACCCTTGGGCAGAGCGGAGAGAGAGACGAGAGAGAGAAACGAGATTGCCCGTACACATACATATACACTTTTTAGGCCAAAGGTTCCTTTTTCCTGATTCTTCTGGACAAAAATACAGAATGTCTCTTCGCACCCTGTGGGTGCCACTCTGGAGTTCTGCCACTGAGTCACCTTGGGGCAGGGCCTGGAGTGCCAGAGGAAGAACATTCCCAGTAATGAGGATTGCCTCTCACACTCTTTGGCACGTAGGGGGCCACTCTTTGGCCACAGGGACAGGGCATCTCTGAGGGCTTTGCTTGTGTGGTTCTGCTGCTAGGGCCACATTTGAGCCAGCATTGGGAGAGAAAAGAGGAGAAATTTCAAAACCAAACAAAGTGGGCAACCCTCCCCTGTACAGGCTGCTTCTTCAAGTTTTGGCTCCCTTCCCCAGTCTGCCTGCTGTTTACTTTTCAGTTGTCAGTGGCTTTCTGTACTTGTCCTGTGTTTTTAGGTGTAATCAGTGGGAGACATAGGCTCTAGTGGGCTGCCTTCACCATGGCCAGCAGCACAAGTCCATGTTTGATATGTATTAGAGTTTATAATCCTTTTTCAGAAGCAGACCATAGAGGCTCAGACTCAGGGCCAGGTCAAGAGCCAAAGATCACAGGCAGGAGGAAGTA